TGGTTGTTGTCTTTGATGTGCCAAAGAAATGATGACACAGAAGCCTGGGACCTGGCTTAGGAGCCAAAAGCTTGTTAGTGATTAGAGAGGGGATAATGGTCCTGTGGAGTTTCTCATTGTGTGTGTAGAGCTCAGAGCTGCGGACTCTCTGTCCTGGAGCTTTGAGGACAGTTAGAGCCCCCTGAGCCGGCACCCCAGGAAGCTGGGTGTGTGCAAGGGCCAGAAGCAGCTGGGTCCACCTCTCACCAGGGTCTGAGTTAAGTTGTACAGCCTGAAGGTTCCTCCCTCAGAGCAGTCTTCTATGGTCTCCATGCCCCAAGAATGGAGACGTGGTTGTATTGTACTTCCGGCTCACTCTCCTACCAGATGTGGGGTTGCAGACTGTCAGGCCATGGGCCAGGTCCAACCCCCAACATGTTTTGTTGGGCCCTCATGGTATTCTCAATTTGTATTGGGTGCCAACTTTTAAAAATTGGGGGGTTTCACATAAAAATCTAGATTTCTGGAGTCTCTTGAAAAACTGGAAGATTTGGCAACAATAGGCCTATATTCCCATAGTTGGCTAGAGTTGCACAACCATGGCCATCATGGACCAAGCACAGGCTCTGCAGTGCCCCACTGTTCCTGCTTCTCCCTGGGGGACCCCACACTCGGCCAAGTCAGCAAGTCTTTTATTCAGCAGGCATCGGAGCGATGTGGCTGGAAGCATGGGTTTTGCAGTCGTACTGTCTCCATTCAGATCCAGGCTTCACTCTCCTAAGCAGTGTGGTCTTGGGCAGATACTTAATCTCTTGGTGCCTCAATTGTCTCTTCTGTTCAGTGGGGATAATATTATAGCCTACCCCACAGGGTGATGTGCAGACTAAATGAGATTGTTTGAGTCAACCGTGGTGAGCACTGATAATTGGTAGCTATTGTTTTCGTTGTTACTATACTGCTCCTCTTCCCCCATTTACAGTACCTGCCTGGCCTCTACAGCCGTCTGGGTTTAGACCGAATTAGACTGAGCCTCGTCAAGGATCTAGTGTCCTCATCTTTTCACTGGCAGCCCTCCCAGTGGCAGACACAGTAGACGTGCCCGGTGTATTGAGTGACTGACTGACTGAGTCAGGAGCCTTGTAAGAGTAGGGGAGGCAGTAGAGCAGAGTGGTTTGGGGCAACGGCTTGGCAGCTCTCAAATCCCTGCTCTGCCCGGATTAGTTCTCTAGCTTCTGTGCACCTCAGTTTCCTGACCTGTAAAATGGGAATAATAATGGTGTCTGCCCCCCAGGGTGGAGAAGGACTCTGTAGGAGACTGTGAATCACTTGGCTCAGTTCACACAGCGTGGTCCTCAGCGAGGTGCTGGTGTCGTCATTTGACATCCATTCCTTCCTTTGGTTGTAAACACTGAGACTACTTGCCACACTTTTTCCTTCCTTCCCTGTCCTTGCTCTCCTTGCTATCTCGCTCTTCCTCTGCACCCAGAGAGTTCTACTTTGGAGACTAGCAGTCAAGATGCTTTTAGTTGCGGGTACTAGATAGCCCCACTCAACTGGCTTAAGCAGTAAAGGGAGAAATGGCCAGGGGTAAAGGGAAAAGCCCAGAGGTAGGGCAGACCCTGGCTCTCTCTCCTCTGTGATGTCCTTGGCTCTGCCATCCTCCGTAAGTTGGCTTCAGGCTTAGGCTATCTCCCCTGATGGTGACAAGATGGTTGTAAAGGTTCCACCTGGGTCACTTGCCTAGACATGAAACCAATTGTGGGATCAGGCTGATTGGCTCGGGACTATTAGGAACCACCCCCGGAGTTGGAGTTGAGGCCTTACCTGCCAAGTTGCAGGGCTGGTAGCCAGGTAGCCAGTGGGAGACCTGAAGTTTCTTTCTGAGTGGTGGTAGCTAAGATGTGCCAGTGGTGCTATGGAGGCTGCTGGCTCGTCCTAGGCTGAGACCCCACGCAGGTCAGCAGAGACGCCTGAGGCGGGCACCTTGGAGTGAGCGGTGCACCTTGGATCACGTGTTGTTGATGGCAAATATAGGATCAGGGAGGCTGGCCTTAGTGAGAGTCACACCTCAGTAGAGCCGGGAGTTCAGATCAGTCTCCTGAGACCAGGGAACAACACTCTATCCCCATCAGGACCAGTGGCCCTTCTTCTGTGTGTACCTGTGTGTGTGCACATGCTCTGGAGATTGACACTCCCGGTCCCAGAGGCTCCTGAAGGCATTGATTGCCCCAGGTCTGTGGCCCCTGGCGTGACAGAGTGCAGCCTGGGCAACAACCTGGGGATGAAGACCTCCCTGGACTCCACACACTTCTTCGGCAGAGAGAGCTGAGCTGTGTGAGCGAAGGCAGGCAGGGCTTGCTGAGCGTAGATAGGTGGACTTATGTGAGACCCGAGTGCTGCTCTTAGCCTTTGGAGCCTGGAACTGTGAGAAAGTGGGGGAAACTCAAGAATAGGATGGCTTCTGTTTCTGTGCAAGTACTCTGCAGTGGAGTGCGTGTGTGTGCAAGTGTGTGCGCGCATGTGTGGTTTCCAGACACAGCTGACTGGGTGGGTTTTGGCGGCAGACTACAGGATGTTGGATTGCATCCTGATTGTGTCACCCTTGGAAGAAGAGGATGAATAAACACATAGCCTTCTCTGCAAGCACAGTATGCCTTCAATTTTGGAGATTTTCAGTCTAGCCTGAAAAGAAGAAAGCTCTAGACTGACTATTCTGTCCTCCATTTGATCCTCAAGCTGCCAGGAGCAGGTGGAACAGAGACTCAATAATGAAGCTCTGTGTGAGGTGGGCAGATGTCCCTGATGCCGTAGCAGTTGAAGATGGTGTTCAGTAATTTATGAATGGTAGTGTTGTCTAGCACGCGGGGCATAGTGGTGGGAGGGTGGGAAGGGTGGAAATCTTGAGCTCCCCCAGCCTGCAGCCAACTCTGAGGAGCTTTTGGAAGAGTTGGAGAACCAGGATGCATAAAAAAGGACAACTAATAGTGCAAGGAAATAGGGTCACAGCCAAGTGAGGGGTCTGGAATGTCAGCACTTAGGAGCCAGGTCAGAGCAGGTGCCAGAGAAAAGGGAGAGGGAGCTCTGGAGCCCAGGGAAGGGGCTGAGTTTGTAAAGTGAATTCAGAGGAAACTAGCTGGGTGGGAACCGAGCCTGCAAGCAAGGCCTCAGACAGTGGAGGGCCCGCAGTGCCATGCTAGGGGCTTTGGACCAGAACATCGTGTGCTCCATTTACTGTTTTTGATGTGAGCTCCAGAGAGAGGAAGCTGCCTTTGGGGCCTCTCTGTTGGGTTATGTTTGCAGCCCGGGGGAGACTTGGGCTTGAGTGGGGAGGTTGTGACATGATGCCCTGGGGATGGTGGATAGGGGGAAAAGGTTGGCTGTAAGAACAGAGGCTCTGTTGAGAGAGGGTCATTGAGAAAGCAGGTTTAGGGGTGACCCCACCTTCTTTGAGGGGATAGTAGAACTACCCAGAGGAGTCACATGGGGTCTAGGCTGCCAGCACACACACTTGGGAATCATCAGTGCAGAGCTACAATGATTGAGCCCAGGGGCGGGGGGGGGGGGGAGATGGGCATAGTTAGTGGAGAAGAGAAGGTTGGGTTTGGGTGCCAGGGGGATGTGGTTGGGAGGAAAGAATGGTTGGAGGGGTTCAGGCTGAGGCCACAGGCTGTGGCTGCAGAGAGGTCAGGGAGAGCTCAGGTACTGATCCTTCTGCAGGAGGGCAGGGAGCCAGGGCCCTGCGTCTGGTCCTGAGCCTCCCTCTGCCCACTGTGCCGGTATCCATGTTGGCATAAAGGCTGCCATGGTCCTAATCAATAGCCCCTGGGGCTGTCTTCAGTTGGGCCTGTTTCCTCCCCTCTGGAGCTGTGGGCAGGATGGCAGATTGAGACTCAGACCCACTGCCCTTTCCTGTCCTTGCTCTTTCTACCTGGCAGCCAGGGCAGAGGGGCTTGGAATGGAGGAGGCATGTTTCTGCCCAACATGGAGCTGTCTGGGGCTTGCCCTTGAGAGGGGCCAAAGGCGGGAAGGCTGGGCCTGGGAACTTTCCCTCAGAGCATTTTACCCCATTCCCAGGGAAACGGGAGAAACCATCCACACAAATTGGAGTCCGACCTTGACCCTCTGCTTCGAGTCCTGGTGGTTTCTTTTTATAGTGCTGTGGGCCAGCTCCGGTGGCCCCAGCTCACTCAGGACCTGCCGCTCGCCTCTCTGCTAAAGCCAGGCCTCCATATTTTCATCCGGAATCCTCTGTCTAAACAGCCAGGGCTGGGGTGGGAGTGGGAGTGGGGGTGGAGGTAGGGGTGGGAGGGTGGCATGAGCCAGAGCCTGGGAGTCCCTAGAGAACCCCAGAGAGGAGGCCTCGGAGACCGGCATTGAGACCCAGTGGTGGGTCCGAGTGAGTGCCGGCCCCTATAGCAGGGCCTGTGTGTGCATTCCATGCTTGGGTGTGTGAGGAGCAAGGGGTGCATGTGGAGGATCGTGAGCCCAACCTGATGGGGGAGGCCCCCTGATGGAGCACGAATGCAAGGAGGCCGGGCCAGACCTGCCTCTGCTTGAATCCTGCTTCAGTAGGAGGGTCTGTGAGGCCTGGAGCTGGGGGTGCCGCAAGAATATACACAGTCCAATCTTGGCCTCTTGAAATTTTTAAGATCCAGGGACCATCTGGGGCCTCCTCGTGGGCAAGAGGACAGGTGAGCTGTCAGGGGTAGCAGTCATAGGTCCTGCGGCCGTCAGTGCCAAGAGATGCCCCAGGCCTAGGCATCCCTCGTCAGTCCAGGAGGAGCAGAACCTTGGGTGAAAGGGCCTTTTCCCAAGATGAATTCTGGGGCCCTGAGGCCCATTGTGCTCCCTCTGTGGAGACTTGGCCTGGAGTTGGAGCTCTGGTGCACTCAGGTTGTATCCTGAGATTTGCTGAGAATTTAGACAAGGAGGGGGGGCGGTTGACCCATGTTTAGCCTCCCGCCTACTTGGCTTCTCTTCCCCGGTGGGCTCAGTGCCTCGCTCTGTTTCTCTCTTGGCAGAATGCAGAGCCAGAGCCCCGGAGCCTCTCCCTGGGCGGCCACGTGGGCTTCGACAGCCTCCCTGACCAGCTGGTCAGCAAGTCGGTCACTCAGGGCTTCAGCTTCAACATTCTCTGTGTGGGTGAGTGTCATGGCCTGGCCGGGGGGCAGCCTCAGACAGAGCACCGATGAGGGCCTTCTGGGAGATGGGGCGCTGCTGCTCTGGCCACCTGTCGAGCTGCGAGGGGACCTCCCAGGCGGAGCGACACTTCTGGGATCAGGACGAGGCTTTGGTTGGTATATCTGCCAGGGTCAAGGGCAGAGTTGGAGCCAGGGCCTGACTCAGAGTTGCCGTGAAGTGTAAACAGGATTAGGCATATAAACTGAGAGTGTTTATCACAGAGGTTTAGATTCATTTGTTTATTTAAAAAACATTTACTGTTATTCCTACTGTATGTCAAGGACACTATGGTAAACAGTACTCTCCCTTCATTGCAATGTTGTGTAGTAAGAGCTCCAACACACATCTGAGCAAATACAGCTCCAAACAGGGAGGATTCCATGTGCCTCAGGGCCTGAGGCTCCTAGAGGCACAAAGAACTTTGCCAGACCCTCCACAGATGCCCAAGTCCTGACATCTGCCAGGCTGTGGGTGTCCCTCAGGAAGCAGCCTACCTTGAACACCCCTAGTTAAAGCTACATGGAGCTGGAGCCACCCAGGGCAGGTGGGCCAAAACACTGGTGGCTTCAGACCCTGGCCCTGCTGGCCCCATGACCATCCTTGGCCCAGGAGGGATGGCGTGCAGAGCAGGTGACTGAGTCCCATTGAGGCCAGCAGCGGCCAATGTCCAGTGGTGTCTCACAGCTGCCTGGCTCTGCCTCTTCCCCACTCCCTGAGGAAACATCTGATACATCCCACATAGCCATGTCTTATGTCCAAGTCAGCCTTTTGGCTCTTTCTTCCACACATTTTTCTCTGAGACCACTGAGAAGGGGTGATTCCTGGGGATGGGGCCAGTGAGGGATGGAGTAGGAGGCCTGCCCCTCTCTCTTGTATGGAGGGTGAGGGTGTTCAGGCACCCACCCAGCCTAGCCCCACCCAGCCTAGCCAACAGCCAGGGACAGCCCCAGTGCCAGCCTTTGACATCCCCTTCCTTCCATTCCCCACTCCCCAGGGGAGACTGGCATTGGCAAGTCCACGCTGATGAACACGCTCTTCAACACGACCTTCGAGACTGAGGAAGCCAGTCACCATGAGGAGTGTGTGCACTTGCGGCCCCAGACCTACGACCTCCAAGAGAGCAACGTGCAGCTCAAGCTGACCATCGTGGATGCTGTGGGCTTCGGGGATCAGATCAATAAAGATGAGAGGCAAGAGGCAGGAAGGGTGGCCCCGCCTAGTCTCATCCCCATCCCACCCATGTTGGCCTTGGTTCTAACACTCTGCCCAAGCACTCCTCACTCTGAGCTGCCCCCATACGAATAACCAAGCCCCACACTCCATAGGGGCCAGAGGAGAGCCTCTTGGGGAATATCTGAGGTCCTGAGGACCCCTTGGGGGGCCAGGAGAAGAAGTCAACCACGTGTACCCAGACAGGGATCCCCAGGTAGAAGCTGTTTGTTCCTACAGAGAGAAGGCTGGTGGGCAGCCTGGCTTGGCTCCAAGCCCCACATGTTGCCGCTCAGCTGCCTGCCTCCTAGGTGATGGAGCTGTCTGTAGTTACAGGCCCATAGTCGACTACATCGATGCGCAGTTTGAAAACTATCTGCAGGAGGAGCTGAAGATCCGCCGCTCGCTCTTTGACTACCACGACACGAGGATCCACGTATGCCTCTACTTCATCACGCCCACAGGGCACTCCCTCAAGTCCCTCGATCTGGTGACCATGAAGAAACTAGACAGCAAGGTATACCCCCCCAACTTGTTCCATGGGCTCCACGGTCCTCCATTGAGGTGGGGTGTGGTGGCTGCAGTGTGACTGTCCACTATGGTCCTCAGGGGCTCTGCTGGTTGGGGACTTGCAGACAGCTCTTTGGCTTGGTCTCCTCTATATTTTCTCTTGTATCTGTCCCTACTGTTCCAGCGGGCCCCCATTGCTCTGGGCTCTTTCTCCAGAGCTCTGTCCTCTGGATCTGGCCCTGAGCCCCTTTCATTCCAGCTGAATCTATTCTTCTTCTCAACCTCCACCCCCTATAGTTACCTCTCCCCCTCCTCCTCGACCCTCTGACCCTCTCCCCAGAGTGTCCCAGTTCTCTGCTCATTCTCTCTCCCTCAGTTCCTGGTTCCTCTGCTCCCTTCACTTCCCTTGTCTTCCTGCTGGATTTCCCTTGGGGTCCTCTTGAGCCCCCTAGAGAGAGGAGAATTAAGGCCCAGAACTGAAGGTGAACGAGGAGTGGGTATTGAGAGGGGAGCTTCGTGGGGGTGACAAGAAGGGCTTGGGGTCCTGGAGGGTGTGGGGCCCCACAGTCACCTGTCAGCTCTCACATGACTGCTGTCCCCGTCTCGGGCATCAATTTTCACTGTGAAAAATGGGATACCCTTGGCCTGGGAGATTTTGAGGTCTTCCTGTGGCTACTGCTGGTGGGTCATCTTACCTGAGCCCCTGCTGCTGTTTCTGTCAGGCCCCAGGCCAGTTAAGACCTTCAGAGCACTCTGGGTCAAAGGTGGGTATGCCCAGGGGACTAATTTTGGGGCTGGATGGTAGTTTGGAGGAACCAGGGCTGTAAGAAGCACTGCAGCTGATTGTTAGAACACATCAGAATGGCCCCAGGTGGCTGGGTTCAGGCCGGGACTACACATGGGAGCAACAGCTCCATCTCTCTGGCTTCCTGCCTCTCTGTCCAGGGACGTGGCCTGGGCAGGCTGTCCACAGTCAGGGAGCAACTAACCTGCTACCCTCACTCCCCTGATCCTGGCAGGTGAACATCATTCCCATCATCGCCAAGGCTGATACCATCTCCAAGAGTGAGCTCCACAAGTTCAAGATCAAGATCATGGGCGAGCTGGTCAGCAATGGAGTCCAGATCTACCAGTTTCCCACTGATGACGAGGCTGTTGCCGAGATTAACGCAGTCATGAATGTGAGCGTTGGGCAAGGGCCTCGGGACTCTGGGGCCAGAGGGCTTGGAGCCGGCACAGACCTCTGACAGCCCCAGGAGACTCTCGGTCCCCAGGATTCCAGCCTTAGCTTCTCCAGGACAGATGAGTGGGCATCTGGGAGCCAGCCAGTCCTATGTCCTGTGGGAATTGGGTATAGTGCTGGTACTGCGGCTTCCTCAGGGTTAAGTTTCACAAGATATGGACTCAGGGTGGGGACCTGAAACCTGTAGGAGTGAGCAGGCAGGATGGCAGGCTGGGAGCTTAGAAGGGAGCCAGGCCCACAGGGCCTTTGAGGGAGCTTCTAATGGCCCCTGGGGAGCCCAAGGGCTGCAAGAACACCCTAGAACTTGAGGAAGGGGGGTTGCAGGTTCAGCCCACTCCCCTTTTGGAGGTCCCAGGATACTTCTCAAAAAGACAGCCAGGAAGTGAGAATCTGGCCAGGCTTTGTTCAGGTCTGGGCAACCCTCCTTGGGGCCCAGGGGCAGTGAGGGAGGGTCTGTTAGCTGTGTCAGCTTAGTGCTCACACATATGTGGGCCCCTTTCCAGGCACACCTGCCCTTTGCCGTGGTGGGCAGCACTGAGGAGGTGAAGGTGGGCAACAAGCTGGTCCGAGCACGGCAGTACCCTTGGGGAGTGGTGCAGGGTGAGTGTGGTGGGGAGCACACATCCCCAGCTGGGGGCCTGAACTCAGCCCCTGTCCTGTCCTGCTGCCTGTAGCCCTGTCCTGTGTCCTCCCTGTACCCATGTGTTACCTGCCCTGCCTCTGGAGTCGGCCTCTAGCACTCTGACCACTGTCCTAAGCCCTGTCCTCCCCATGCCCATCTGTGTGCCTGCCTGACGCCCACGCACCCTCTGCTTGCAGTGGAGAACGAGAATCACTGTGACTTCGTGAAGCTGCGGGAGATGCTGATCCGGGTGAACATGGAGGACCTCCGCGAGCAGACCCACAGTCGGCACTACGAGCTCTACCGGCGCTGCAAGTTGGAGGAGATGGGCTTCCAGGACAGCGACGGTGACAGCCAGCCCTTCAGGTGACAGCCTGCACAGGGAGTGAGCCTGTGTTCACAGCCATAGCCAGACTTGCCACACTGGCATCTGCTTCTGGGGTCTAGTGAGCCAGGGAGAGAGGCTGCTGGGACCCCAGCATCCTCTTGCCCCCCGTGCCCATGTGATTCCACTTCTCTGGCTCTGCCCTACCCCATCCCACCAAAATCCCACACTTGGCCTCTGTTCATGGGTCTCCACAGCCTGCAAGAGACATACGAGGCCAAGAGGAAGGAGTTCCTGAGTGAGCTGCAGAGGAAGGAGGAAGAAATGAGGCAGATGTTTGTCAACAAAGTGAAGGAGACAGAGCTGGAGTTGAAGGAGAAGGAAAGGGAGGTTAGTGCCAGGCTGGGGGATTGTGGTGAGGCCAAGTGAGGGAGGGCAGGGCCTGGCTGGGCAACAGGAGGGCCTGGGCACCTTCCCGGCCCACACGGAAGCCCGGGCTCCCTCACCTTTTGCTCCCAGCTCCACGAGAAGTTTGAGCACCTTAAGCGGGTCCACCAGGAGGAGAAGCGCAAGGTGGAGGAAAAGCGCCGGGAACTGGAGGAGGAGACCAACGCCTTCAACCGCAGGAAGGATGCGGTGGAGGCCCTGCAGTCTCAGGCCTTGCATGCCACCTCGCAGCAGCCTCTGAGGAAGGACAAGGACAAGAAGAAGTAGGTGGCGGGCTCCCTGGCCTGCGCTGGCTCTTGCTCTCCCCTGGGCGCTCACTCTGTCCTGCTCTCGGGTCCTACTTTCGTTCTCACTCACTCTTGCTCTCTTTCACTTTTTCACCATTTTGCTCTCTCATTTCACTTGCTTTCCTGCCTCATTCTCGCTCACTTTTATTTTTCTTTCACTAGTGATCTTGATCAAGATACAAGTGTCCATGCACTATCTTGTATTCATGCACTTTCTTGCACAAGTGACCTGCCTCCCCCCCCACCTCTCTCTCTCTCTCTCTCTCTCTCTCTCTTCGTTCTTCTGCAGTCCCCTCAAGAGCTGAAGGCTGGGCCACACAGGCAGGGAGTGGCCCCTGAGAGGGTGGAGGGGTCCCAGGGAAGGTCTCTCAGGCCAGGAGAGTGGCAGCATTTCCAGACAGATTCTAAAAGCTCCTGTGGGTTCTGCTTGGACAGCTATGCTGCATCCCCCTCAGTCTCTGAGGTGGTGGACGTGGGGCACATAGTGGCCGGCAGGTGGTGAGTGAGAATAGTGGAGACTTGAGCCCAGCCAGCACTGACCCCCTGGACACTGTGATCACTGCCTGGCTGAAGGAAGGACAGCAGTTCCCTGTAGGGGCTCTGTGAGTCCTGCTCTGGAGAGGGGTTGCCCTCAAGTAGAGGTTGGAGTTGTTCCTCCGGAGAGCAGACTCGGAAGAGAGAGAATGATAGAGGACAGCAAGGAGGCTTTTCCCAGCCTCAGGAGTGCAGTCAACGTATTGGCCAGGTGGGGGCAACTCTGAGTCACTTTCCCGTGGTGTTTTTCATAGCCTGTTTCCGCACTCAGCTGGGTCCAGATGCCCTGGCTCCTGGGGATCTCCCTCTCCCATTCCACTTCATTCAGCATCCCAGCCACATCACACTGTGGGGATCTCATCCATCCCTGCTTCTCCCTGCCCCTGGCCTGTGTCGGGTACCTTCTTCCTCTTGCCAAATTAGGAACTAAGCAGGTGTACCCATATTGGTCCTCTTTCTTGGGATCCTTGGAAATTTCATTGCCTTCTGGAATGTTTGGGAATGTGTGTGCCCGGGCCCTTCCTTCCTTGGTGGCAGTGGAACGTTGTGGTTAGGGCCATGCAGTGCATAGGTGTGGCCCTGGGATGCTGCTTCTGGTGTTAGCACTCCCTCTGTCCCCCAGTATTACATTCCCTAACACGCACACACTCATGCACACACATACAGGTACACATTCGCTGTCTTACCCTCTCTCCTGCCCCATCTCATACAGACGCAGGCACATATCTGCCAACATACACAGTCCCCGGACACACATGCACAGAGCCACAGGCACATCTAAGGAAAAGAAACTTAAAGGGCTTCTCCCTGGGAGAGGCCAGGGGGACAAAGCCGGGCATTTAGGGATTGGCTGCTAGTTCTCATTCCTCTGCTTTGAGACAGACCCTCATCCTTTCTGTAGTCTCCTCCATCCTGCTGACTGGTGGCCTCACCCAAGCTGCTGGCAATGCTGGGACAGATGAGCCCCTGCCTGTACCCAGGGAGGACCCCACCCCACACTCACCTCAGCAATGTGAATTTCCCCACTGTTTTGCATTTGCTTCCAGCCCTGGTCCATGTCCAGCTCTTGGCTTGGTGAGTGTGGGGCTCTGTGAATTGGAACCTGTGTGGTTTTCAAGCTAGTGGCTCAGCAATCTGGTTTCTCCTGGAAAGGGGTGTGTAGGTCTATGACCCAGGTGCTGGTACCCAAAGTGACTTTGCCCTGCTTCCTGCCAGCTTGTCCTAGGCCATCTTGTTCCAGGCCATCTTGTTAAAGAGGAGGCAGGCAGAGTCCCCTAGGAAATAAGCTATGGAGAAACCACTCAGAAACTGAAGACAAGGACCTGTGGCCAGGTCAGGGTCTGAGGAGCAGTGTGGGGGGTGCAGGCTGGCTCCAAGGGCACCAACACAGCTCTCAGGGTGGAAGCTTGTCACTGGTGTCAGGTCTCCCTGCTTTTTCCATGTGGCCTGGGCTTGGAAAACAGGTCTTTTCTGTTTACTGGACATGCTAGAAAGCTTCAGTCAATTTGGCCTCTGGGAGAGACTTTTCCGTTCCTGCTGGCCTTATGGAAGCCAGGAGTGGGGTAGGTGGGGTAGCTGGGAGCACCCCTTCCTCCTGCCCTGTCAGGGGAATGGGATGAGTTGGGAGTGCATTTGTGGGGGGAGTTGTTTTTCATGACAATTTAGTTGAATGGCTTTGAGTGGTCGTACTTATTCTTCAAATTTTAATCCTATTTTGCAAAATTACTTCCCAGTCAGATCTTGACCCTCAGCCTGGGACGCCACAAACTGAAGTGAATTCTCTGCTTTGCTTGTCACAAATGCCAAACTGACTGTCCTTTCCCAATGTCCATCTTGCTGTCTTTTGCTTCTGTTTGATTTGGTTGTCTCCGTACCTTTTAATGTGTCTGTTTTTGTTTTGTTTGTTTTATTTTTATTTTTCAGTTAATGCACGCACAGACTTACATGTCAAGAGCGGACTTTAGACTTTCATGTGTTAAGTTGCTTGAGTTACACCTTGTGACCCTTCTCCCATAACATGGTGTGAGGACGGACTGGGAGCCGGTACAGACTCCAGTGTTTACAGCCATGCTTTGTCCCCCTCCCCACCCCCAAGCTGCCGGGGCCTGGGGGGGCTTCCCTCTCTATGCAAACACGTCAAAGCCATGAATGCTGGAATCCAAAACTGACGAGGTTTATTTTTTTCAGAGCCAGTGGCTGGTCTTCCATTTACAGTGTCACTATTCCTTGACGGAGCAGTCATGTGTCGCTCTAGCGAAGGCCCCAGACTCGATGCTCGGTGACTCACGCGGTGCCCTAGATGTGGCCTCGTGGTCTGGTATACATGCTGCAAAGTTTGCCCGATTCCCCTTCATTTTAATTTTTCTAACCTAGAGCTTAATTTCAATAATAACTTTTAAAACACTTCTAAATTTTTATTTTGGCACAAGCGTAAAGAGAAATAATATCCTCTCCCATTATTTTCATAAGTAACACAGATTCCCCGATTTTTAAAAACTAAAAATATCTCTAAACCTTTCTTATGTATAAAGTATCCCTATAATACATAGGGAGAGGTGGGTAATAAACATCCTGTAATGAGAGTGTTTGGAATTTCTTTACGGATGAAAGTAGAACATGAACAAAGCCACGACCAATGTTTTCACTGTGAATGTAAATGGAACAGCAGCCCAATGCCATTGTCTTTGTGCCCCAGAGGTGCTACCTGTAAACAGGGACCAACTTCATGTGTGTGTTAAGTGTTTCACTCCAACTGACACCCCCAAGCCAATCCTGCATATTCCAAGTACAAAGAGTGCTCAGCCAGGAAAAGGTTTTTATCTCGATCAAGGTCATTGTTTCCTTTTTCCTGGCAGAGTCACAGGGCAAAGAGATGAAGGTATCTGATGTATGTGAACAATTTAAGAAAAAATGATCAGCAAAGGAGCTTTTCCTCTTCAGCTGCATTCTGAAGGGGAATATTTTAAGAAAGTACTAGTGGTATTGATTCTTTGATATTCCCCTTGGTTTGCAAGCCATTAAGAGTATCAGGGTTGAAAATATCGCCTGATAAAATGGGAGATGAAAAACAAATAGATGAAAGGAAGGATTTCATTTAATGTTGATGAAGCACTGTGCAGGGCACAAGCCACCAGAGTAATGCGCAGCCCTGCCCTCAGGGAGCTCACAGTCTTGTGCACTCCCTGTTGGAAGCCTTAGCAAGCTGTCCTGATATATTGCTGGATCGGTGGTTTGTTTTTTGTGTCCTTCATCTTCCCTCCCATCACCGTTTCCCTCTTTCTGCCTTGGCCTGTCTTATTGATTTCCAGGACCAAGTTCTGGCTTCCTCTTGCCCTTCTGAGATGATGTTCCCTTCAGAGTGGGGTGGAGAGGTGAGCTGTGTGTGTCCACTGAGGCACAGGCAGAAAAAGGCAGCCTTTTTCTCCTCACCAGGAGCAGAGCAGGTTTTACTGATGCTCCAAGTGTTATGCTAAGACCAGAGGTGGATACAGATTTTGAGAGGCAAGAAGCTTGAACTGTTTGAGAAGCCTTCTTCAAGAAAAAGAATATGAATATAAAATTAGGTACAGGGCCTTGGAAGGGGCTCTGAGGATTAAGCTTTGTTAGCTTCACTGTAAATTCACCTCTGGTTAGGCCGATAACCGATGCTCCAGTGTGGGCATCCAGAAGGGTAACTCGGCATGTCTGAGGCAGATTGGACTACAAGTGGCTTGTCTTTAGGGAAATTATGTCTGAAAGTATATTCAGTTGGGTGAAAGTATGACCTTTAAGATAGCTTCTGTCAGCTAATGTATTTCTGAAGATGAGGCTCAGTGACCCGGTGGGTTCACTGGTTAAATAAAAAATGAGGACTCCTGGTTCATGGGCCAATCTGGGGATTCTGGAGTGGGCAGATTCTGCCACTTGTCTATGGCAGCCTAGAGGCTGCATCCCAGGCATCCTGGAAGGCCAGAATTGTGGCTGGTTACCTGCCTTCAGGCCTGTGGCTTCCCAGCATCTCTGGGGAGACCTGTCGTTGCATTTTTTGGGGTCTGAGCTACCTTCACAGGTCCCATCAGCTTTAGTGAGCTGCACTGCACTTCTTTCCCCATGCTATTTGTGTTTGGAATTTTGTTATCTTTAGCTGAGACCGAATTAATCCTTGGTGCACAAGGTGAGCTTAAAACCTGCCATTCTTTAACAAGCCACCCCTCATGGAATGTGACCCCTGTCTGCAGGATCTGATTTGCCCCTCCTTTGCTTTCTCAGCATCATCTGTTGGCAATGTTAGGGCTGTCAGTGGGATCATGCTGGCATTTACTATCATGTCTTTCATGAATCAAGTTGGTTTTGGGTAGAATCACCATATAATTTATTGTCCAAACTGAGACTTTTGAAAGGAGATGCTGTTAATAATTATGCCAGATTAACAGGCATAACCCAGAACTGTCTCAGGCAAACCAGGTTGTATGGTCACCCTAGTTATGGGTAACCTGAGTCTATGTGGTTTGTAATTGTGCAGACTGACTGCCTATACGTTTGTGTGTGTCTATGTGTGGGTTCCCTGTTAAGTGGGGCTCATATTACTGGATCAGAGGCCCGACAGAAGTGTGGCTTGCTAGTCTGTTACGTTAACATGCTTTTCTAAAACTGCTTCACTTGTTAATTCATTTACTCCTTCATTCATTGACTGTTTTTGTTCCTTTCCATTCACTTTGTACTCATTTTTTTTTTCATTAAATTTTGCATTTATTTTGAGTTTTTGTGGTGTCTTTTTTGGGCAGTAGCTTTTCTGATTTAACAAGTTTCCTGGCCTATTAATCTGCTACAACTGTGGTAAAATACAGCTTGTCTTTTCTGTGAACTTTGTGGGGTTGATCAGCTTCTATAGGAATTATGTTTGAATAGTGAATCCTGCTCTGGGCATCTGTGAAAGGCTCTTGAATGGGTGTGGGATGGAAGAGTCATAGTTAGGAGATAGAAGATGCAGCCTGCGGTCCATGAATCTTTATTGGGCGACTGGGTGCAGGACATGAGAGAAGGCAAACCCTGCCCATAAAGGGTTTACATCCTTGTGGAGGCTTGACATGGGACAACTAACATTTGAGTTCTCATTGTGTGCCAGGCATTACTCTAAAGTGCATTACATGCATTAATTTCTCTAATCTTCATAATAATTCTGTGATTAGGTACCATTTCCCCCATTTTATAGGCAAGACACAGAGGTTAAGTAATTACCCAAGGTCATACTTATAGTGTGTATAGTCACACTTATTGGTAGTCTGTACCCTTAATTCCTGAGCTACAGCTATACCTTGGCAACCTTATGGGATGGTGGAAGAACAGTGGAAATGTAGCCAATATTAAAGCATGCAGTCTGACAGTGTGGGTTGGTGGGCCTGAGATGGTTTTATAGAGGTGGGATGTCCTGGTGGGTAGGCAAATATTTGGTTGAGGAAGGTCAGACTAGTGGTTGAAGGAAGTGGTGACAAGCTCATGGGTCCATTTGTTGAGGAGCTTTCTCTGTTGGGCACTAGGCTAATCTCTGGGAAGACCAAAATGAAGAGAAGGGAACTAAGGTTGGGGAGCTGACAGCCCAACAGGGAGACTGGTATGCAGACATCCATAATGAAGGGACAGCTCGACTCTACCCATGGGGAGGCAGGTAGCAGGGAGGCAAAGTCTTCACCAGCTTTGAAGGACAGCGACTCTCCAGGAAGCCAGGGGGAGATGGGCCTCGTTGGTGGAGGGAACAACATTGTACAACTCGGCTTACTCATTTGGGGGAAGTAATATTTGGACAAGTTTAAGAAAAGTCCATGATGTTCACCTACCCTGCACTTCCCTTAGCCCACCTGCCTTTCCTGCTGCCATAGCATCTGCCACAGCCTTCTCCCATCTCCATCTTCTGCAGCGACAGTCCTTCACCAATCTTTACCCTTCCGTAGTTGGGGACAAAAAGAAGATGGATTGTGTCCATACTTCTCCCACTACAGTGATCCCCAATCTCTGATCTGAGATGGGATATGAGTTCCTAATCAGAAAAAAAATTAGAGGAGAGTAGGATAGGACCTGGGGTCCCAAGGCAAGCTTGAATAGCATAAATTTTTTTTTTTTAAACTCACAAGTAGTACTTTGGCAATACAGAAGTTTGCTTCCCCAAAGAAGAGTTATATTTACAGCAAGACAGAGCAACAAGGCTGTCCCTTACCCCAATACTGGCGCTCACAGTTCTACTTTTCCTTTCTCCAAGAGATTGCAAGTTGGATTAGCTCTGGGGACCCATCTTACATCCAGAGCTACCTGGTTAAGAGGTCCAGATACCTCCCAGCAGTCCTCCGAAGTCACAGACAGCCTGAGCTGGTATGGGCCCTCAGAATGAGCCCCCACCCCACCCACTAGTGTGCCCATGCACAGAGGAAGAAAGGAGGCAGAGGGCAGTCGTGGCCACTGATCAGAGCTGTGGCCATGAGCAGCGTGCTGCCCCTCAGCATCTCCATCTGTGGTGGACTAGAGGACAGTTACTGACAGGACTCAGGAGATAGTGTTCCAAGTATACTTCACTCTAGCAAGTCTAAACGCATGGCATCCAGTACTTGTAACATACAGTTCAGACAGGGTTGAAAGGAATTAAACTTTATTTTTACAAAAGCTCCAACAAACAAATTTGTGTCAAGAAAAGGTAGAGATTTGCACTGACTACAGTACAGACACTATTATAGTATATCGGTCCTTGACCACTTGGCACCTAGTAGCAGATCATACTCCCCTTAGCATTTACAAAAAAAATCGTTTTTATAAGACTTCACAAACCACCTCTAAATGTGTGGCTCAGTCATTCATATCCTCAACACTACTTACACAGCTCCAGCTGGCATCTCTGCCAGCTGAACTCCACTGCTTAGAGAATGGCTCTATAGTGTCACAGCTTCAGAGAGGCAGCTGGCAGAATTCTCCCTCACAGCCATGCTAGTAACCTCCTCCTAGCAACACAGTGGTTGGAGCAGGCTCAGCCCCGCAACCTGCTCATCTCAACAAAAATCTCTCAGAACTGTGTCTCCCCATCACAGGGGTCACCTTATGATACCATTCTTTAGCATAAAAATGCCACTAGTTAAACTAATAAACTACTTTGCTTAGAGTAACAAAGGAAAAATATGCTTAAAGCTTGATCAAGTTACTGTACATTAAACAAATCATACTTTATAATCCAGTCCTTGTGAAGAGAAGACATAGGTCATGGCCAAGTCAGGGTAAATGTATCTGGAAAGACTGTTTCATTTTTGCAGTGGCAGTTAGGGTAGTGGGACTCGAAGCACTGTATATGTGCTTGGTATAAGCCTGGGAAGCTGAAAGGACCTGGCCAGCTCTGGTGGATGGAGCAGCGAGAACTGGTCAGTCAGAACCAGTCTGGCCCTTGGGCCCTGAGCAAGGCCCACCTCTGGCCTCATACTGCAGCTCTCTTAGGGGCCAATACCAGCCCTTGCTGAGGAAAGGAAGGAAACCCAAGCTGCAGTATGAGCATTCATTCATTCTCCCTGGTCTCAGGCCCAGGGGAGAGAGGGAGGCAGGGTCGTGATCTGTCAGACTGTTTCCCCCTAGTGACCCCGACCTGCCTTTTGTCCCCTTATTGTCTAAGGACCCAGGAACTTTTTCTCAGTGGCTCTTCCAGGGCCTTCTTCCTTTCTTGTTACAGGATCCATAAAGCTTAGAATTTAGAGGAGTCCAAGCAAGGAGGGGGTTGTTATTACGCTCTAAAGGGCACAAGGGTAGGGGCACGGAGGCTGGCAGGTGAAACAGAAAGTTGTCTGTGCAGGAGGATGACTAAAAACTTCTCAGCTGCTGCTTTACAAGGTCCATGCAGCGGCTCAACTGCTCAATACTGATCTGTAAAACAGAGTGGTCATCCTGAAGCAGAACCATTTTATATCCTAAGGAATGAGCAACTGAGTGCCAAAATATTAGCATAGAGCAGTTGCAGGAAGGTCCAACCACCCAACGTAAGAGCATTAACTCCACCATCTCAGGGACATCCATCTCCAACCTCAGTAAAACTGTTATTAATAGTCTAACTATGCCTTCCATCCTACCCCATCCATCCTGAGGGATTCTGACCCCCCAGTGCCTGGTACCATATACGCATATAGAGGGTGAGGAATCTGAAATTTACACTCCCCAATATTAAGCTCAGGGTGTCTTCCTCCTGAGCTGGACATAACCCCCCCATCCTCTTGGCTACAAGGGCTGCCACTGAGATAAAGCTGCTCTCACTGTCAGAGAAATCCACCCCAGTTGGTCCAGTGAAGGGAACATCTGTCCCATACTCAAGTCCAGAGGTCATGCCAGGTGTGAAAAACCTAGCCCTTGGGCAGACTCTTCAGAGAGTCATCACAGAGCATCTTCTGGAGCCCACAAGAGCCAAGAAAGGCCATGGGTACCCATTTGGGGGCAGACTGTGTCAGCTAAAGGGGCAAAACTGAGAGCCTGGTCTGGGGCAAAGTTGATGTCTACCTGTGCTTTCTTTAGCAGATCAGATATAGGAGTACACCAGTCGGGCATGAGCCTCTCCAGCTCTAAGGTGATGATGACCAAAGCCAGTGTGGAGCCCTTGAACTGCAGCAGCTGGTGGCCCGCCATACAGTGCTGCAGCTGCCTGGTCAGGGACGCGACGTGGAGGGAAGGATTCCTCTGAGGCAGCAGCTCCACCACGTGGGGCCAGCCCAGGACCACCAGGGCGTGGAACTGGAGACCGTGGTTTTTAATGTTAGAACAGAAGACCCCATACTTTTCATATCATTGACCAAAAGTGCAAACAATTTAAAATTCCATCAGGGAACATCAAATGTTGCCCAACCCTTTTCATTCCCATCCGTGGCCCTACAAGGGGCTTGAGGCTTAATGCCCATTCTGTGGCCAAGCTGAGCTTCAACCTTGGAGAGAAAAGACAGTTTGCTTTGTGACATGATCATTATGAGCCTAAAGTACATAGATGACTATGTTTCAATTCTGAGAAATAGAAGCATTCTATTCAAGATTAAGGCAGCAGAAAAGTTACTTGTATCTGCTTGACAGGAGAAGAAACTCTGCAACTTGGCAACAGTG